GGATTTACAGACAAATAAATCATATACATTGTTCAAGATAATTACAATTGTAAAATGCAATATAAAAACCTATTAATAATAATTCTCAGTGAACCAAGCACGCCTAATATAAGAAAATGTCGGCAGTAGGTAAGCTTATTAGGTACTATTACTCCCGAAGTAAGATAACGTTTCAAAGTAATCTTACTATTTCCTATCTGCTACGATATTAATAAAATGTTCTCCTTATAAGTAGGTATATCGATGTGAAGTAAAAACGGGATATAATTATGTATCAATTGATAACATTATATTTTTTTAATTATTGTACATTATAACAATTTGCTTCCCTGTGTTTTACATAATTTTATTCAACAACCATTTTTCACAAGTTTTTTTGTTGTTTTGTTTTCCATTGAATTTACTCCGATTTAGTCAGTGACGTTAAAAATCATTAGAGAGAAGATAAATAATGATCCTACATTAAGATTCATTGAGTCAGCTAGCTGTAAACATGAGATCAAAATTATTTTAATGATACTGTGTTCAGATTGTACGTACAGGAATATCATAATATGCAATTGGTTGCTTGATGGGATTATTTAATTAAACATACAAAAAAGTAAATAAAATTAACAATTTAATACAATTAGCGAAAAATCATAATAGTTCTATACAATAAAAGATAAAATGCTCAGTAATCATCTATAATAAAATACACTTACGGTTGTTAAAAAGCTCGCAGGTATTGTCACTTACCTACTTACTTATGCTAAATGATACTAAAATTGACTGTTTGTCAAATATTTTCAGATCGTTTGACAATTTTTAAAGCTTCACATATTCACTAGATTATCATCAGATCTTTTCGCTGAAATGGCGCACTTTTCCGACACCGGCGATTCAAAAAAGCCTTTCGTTAACGGGGCTATTACTTAGTTATAGCTTTCAACACATATTGGACACACTCTACCTCAATATTACATTACGACAACTTTTTGACCGAGAAGGAAAACTGAGTAAACTAATATTAGTACAAGTAGGCCACGTGTCTCACACCACGGGAATCTCACAATAAAATAGTACCAAGCTCAAGCCAAACGCTTCTACTTCTATAACGTTACTTTAAAATGCAAGTCAGCTTAGTTAACGTGGTACTTAATTAGTGACATCAACAAGGGAAGATTAACACGGACTTTACGACTAAGCTAAGCTATGTTAGCTTTGTTCGCGGTGGGGCCCATAGTTAAACCTTTTTAGTCCTTTAAATGTAAAATGGTATATTCTAGGTACCTTATTTTGAACTTTATTTAGATGATGAAAATAAATAAAGTTCAAAACGAATGATACCTACTGTTTCATTCTGGCAAAAGGTTAAAAGCAGGTCACACTACAAATTGAGCTAAGTCGAGCTTTGCATATAAATCGCTGCAGAGAACTAAGAATCTAAGGCTAAGCTATCTCTACTATTAAATATTTGAGTCCACACCGAGAAATATGATTGATAATACTAAGAAACTATTAAGAATGACAACTGCTGGTATAAGGAGAGGCATGAGCGATAGAGTTTGTTACAAGGTATTACTGCGATCATCAGGTTAACTAACAGGGCACAGTTAAAAGTTCAGTTAGTTCACGGTGTGGAGCCAAATTGCCAATACGTGACCTAAAGTAAAATTTTCCATTTTGTCGGTGAAAAAGTCATCGGAGAGATGTAATTAAAAACGTTTATCTCAGCAAATAAGTAGGTACCTATCTAAAGCAATCCAAAAACTAATAGCTGTTTTATTAATTGCATATTGTATTTTAGGGTGCAGTCCTCACCGGGAGGGGAGTGTAGTCTAACAATGCAAGATACAATTTGATTTCTACGACACAGCACTTTAAAATTGAATCCTGTATTCATTGTTACACTCGGATGATCAAGGTGAGGGAGCACCCTTAGATTACAAATACCATATTGTGTATCAAAGTTGCAATATCAACGTAAACGAAGGGCTTAAAACCGCAGTTTCATTTGTTTCATCATATTCTGGTAACCTAGTGAATAGGCTGCACAAGTTACAGACAAAATATTTTTAAACAATACGAAAATTCGTTGTTCTAGCTAGACAGGTTTAACTTGTAAATCACTAATGTAAAAAGTACAATTTATAATAATTATTATACTTAGTTCTTTTGTGCCGATACTTGCAATGGGGTTTCGTCAAAACTCTATGTGTCAATCTTAATTTACAACTTAATAGTACTATTTACAAGGTCCAAAATAGAAGTTAAACTTAACAAGTTTAAATTCTAATTTATCCATAATTAAGTATCTAGTAAAAAAAGCTACTTGGACGTTCAACATTAAACGAATTGTTTGATTTATGTAAACATTGGCTTGGCAGTAATGAAAATTTATTTTTAGTTTATTGAGCTATTTTAAATTGTGCTGAGAAATATTTTAAAATAAAAACTATGAATCTAAGACTCCTTTCCTGCATAGCAATTGATCCTCTCGATCTTTCTTAGGTTAAGTACTTGCCGTGCTCGCTAGCATTTAATGTTATATATTCAGCATCTTATTCGGGATTGCATCTTAATTAATGAAACTGCTAAAATAATTAATTTTAATTAANTTAATTTAGATACTATTCAGTACTTATTATGTAGAAGAATTTATATAAAAATCAGTTCAGTAGTTATAATAATCGACAATCGCTCGCACGTTTATCTGCGTTTATTTATACTATGTACACAGTAAAGTACAACATACTTACAATAAATGCAAGTGTTGCGACCATTTATATTATCTACTTATAACATACTATGTACAAACGGCTTGCGCGTATTTAGCGCTCTATAACATATTTTAGTTGTACATACTAAATATAGAGTAAACCTTAAGGCTTTTCTAGTCTGACTCAGAAGTTCAGGACAAGCCTAAGCACAACGGTCATATTTAATGAATTACATGTAAAATTCTTAAAATATAATTATAATAAGTATACACAGTTTGAAATATCCGTTAGACTTGAAAAATGGGATACGTTCGTCGTTAGTTAATAATCAATAAATCTTTTAAAAGTAGGTAATAGAGTTTAATAAAATAATAATTTACGAAGGTTCACATTTGATGTTTTAGGTAGGTACCTATGTCTTACCTGTCAAAGTTACAAAAAGATCTAAGACAGCTGTAATGTTACTTTAATATCTTCCCCATTAATTGAAAGCACCATAATTATTATTAGTAGTCACTAAAAACGAACGTATCGAGAACTTAAGTCTGTTCTAAGCCGGACTTAAAATTATACCACTTTCTATTTCAGGTTCATTAATTGCTCTATTTTCTTTCTATCTATAATATTAAGTAGTAATATTTCATACCTTCTCGTTTCTTCTTCGTATTCTTAGCTAGGTAATTGCATTTTAAGTAGTTGTAAATGAGCAATCTACGACAATACATTTGAATTCATATTTCGTAGACTTACGTGTAGAGTTTGCTAATTTCAATTTCATGGGTAAAAAAGTTCTTAAAACTAATTATTTTTTGTAAATAAAATCAATGTCAACAATGGTTCCCTTAGAAAATTAAGGTAAATAACATAATTTGTACAGAATACGAATTTATATTGTGCACAAAATTATTGATGTGGTGGGTTAGAATTGGAGATCGCTTCGCGTAAGGTTGCCGATTTTTTCACAGATTGTGAGTGCGTCGTAACTAATGCTGAAAACCACTTTTGTTTCGTTAGAGTTCGAAAAGTGACTTAAATGGGGCAACCTTAGTGTTCGTGTATGTGTAGTACACATTGTGTACCTTATGCCTCGCCACATAGCTTCGAGGTGTATTACCGTCGTCGTTTATCGTTCATGATTATTTTAATGCATGAACTGTTGTATTATTTTGAGTTTGACTGATTGGTCGATGGCACTTTTCTGGCGAGCAGTCCCGATCGTGGACACTCGCCTTGCAATGTGGCCGTAGCATAGAATAAGTTATCACGCCTGCAACCGGATTGGTGACACTGGCATCGGAATAAAAACCCAACCTCTTAACGAAGTCCAAGGTTTAAGTCACTTACTTAAAGAACCTTAAGGAGGCATTATTTTGTTTTAAGCTGGATTAATCACTGTACAATAAGTTTTTAACAACAATATTCATTTGTTAATTGCAATAGCCGCTTTCTTAAGGTATCGTTTAAGAAAAGAACCTTGAATCGAGCGTGAGTATTCCCGAAGGATTTTCCGATGCATACCTAGAGCCTGAAAATCTTACTCCTCCTTTTCAAGTTTAATTTAATTAAGTAACAAAGTCAAATTGTTCCTTTATTTAGGTGCTTATCTATGAAATTGCCGTTTTACATGGGGTATATAAGAAAACAGTAGCTCTTAATAAAAACAATTTGCATTTTAGTAATTACAAACCCAAATATATTGTGTGTATAAGATTACTACCTAACAGTAGCTTAATTTTGGAAATTATCCTACGGACTTACTAGGAGTCTTATCATGGAAATAGACATGTTTTTTTAAATTTTAGTCAGATGTAAAAAATTGCAAACAAATTAATATTATACGTTGAAAAACGGCAATTTCCTATCTAAGCATGAACTCATGAATTCGGGGGTAAGGGCTGTGGTGTAAGGCCTCAGCCTCGAACTTAGCGGGCATCGGGGCGGGGCGGCGGCGGCGGCGGCGCGGGAGCGGCAGGATCTTATGCGTAAAATCAAATGAACCGGTTCTCGAAAACAGCGGCGCGGCAGCGGGCAACGAGCGGGCAGCGGCGAGGGAGCGGGCATCGAGCGGGGAGCGCACTCCTTCTTTTGCCCACAATAAATCGAGCGTTAGGAATAAATTTGAATCAAAATAAAATTGTCGCCGTTGTTCAGACATTTCGTTTGCGAATAAAAACAAATATCTCGACAACACAACCCCGAACACAACACTTCGCCGCTAAAGCGCCGCGCGAGCTGCCCGCTGGTTTCGAGAACGGGTCTGCGTTACCCGCCCCGCTTCCGCGCCGCCGCCGCCGCCGCCCCGCTGCCCGCTAAGTTCGAGGCTGAGGCCTAAGTGTGCGCACGTACCGCGCAGGCGTGAGCGCTCATTAGACGATGATCTCGCGGATGACGCGGCGCGAGCGCGTGTTGGGCGTGGAGTAGCCCGACTCCAGCGACTCGTCGTAGCTCAGCGACAGGTGCGCCGGCTTGTCCTCGCCGCACGCGTCGCCGCCGCCGCCCTCGTACGCCTCCGGTAAACCGCTGACTTCGTGGTATGGGGATTCTAGGGGATAAAACACATCAACATTATCAACCATTAATTATGGGGAAAATATCAAAAATAACATGTAAAAAACACGGTTCGAATCCCGGGTGTGGTAAGCGAATTTAAATCTTGAAATGCAGTTACAGTATTCAGTAGTCTACAGTATATGTATTAAGAGTACTTTCCCTTCAAGTGGTATTAAAAAATTTTATCCTGTATTTATTGGTATAATTATTGGCTCTCTCTAATGAGTTGCATAACACTTTAGCTAGATGCACTTAGCGACCGCTTTCGCCGGCACCTTAATTTGAGCCGAATTCGGGGCTTTACGAAGACTTAGCCCCGAGCCACATGACCTAACTAGCCACGCTTGGTTGTATTTAAAAGCTAAGTTAACGTGCTAACTGGGTGACACACTCTTGCGAACACTGAATATTGCGTTCAGCCAAACTGAAATTTGGTGCTACTCTGCGTGACTAAAGGCGCCTGTGAACGAACAGCGTGTTAACTAGACGTCAAGTCAACAAAGTTATAGTCCTCGGCACGAATCTTGAGCGCTGGGGGAAACATGCACAGGTAGACTGTTTTGATGCTGTTTCCAACAATCAATAAAAAAAGGTAATTCTGGGTACCATGACAACTATAATAGACACAATAAATATTTAAGAGCAAATAAGATCTACCCCACTTGGTCCGGTCGAAGACTACTGACTGGGAACTCAAATATCTTCTATTAATGGCGTGATATATCCAATCGGGTAAGTTAGAAGGCTAGGTGCATTTAATTATTAAAAGTATGCACTTAGTAGTTTGTAATAAATTAAAACTGTTCACGAGATGTTAAATGCGTATGTACCTACAACACCATCTATTCAATTTATGCGCATATCAAACTGTTAGTTACAAGTTGACATGTTTTGCAATGCAACTAGGTTCATTCGTCATAAGCTACGAGTAGAATCCAAAAAAACTATTTAGAGCTTGCATTATTTTGTAGTGGGCTAGCGAGGCGTAAAATATTAAATAATAAGTCAACACAATGAGTTATTATACACAAAGTATAGGTAGTTCCTTGGCAATATCCATAAAAATGCCAAATAATGTACATAATCTCATCATCACAGTTGAGATTTTTTTTACACTGGGAATCGAACCGAATCTGTGTTATAGTCCCGTTCGGGAACCATTAGGTTATGTGGTTATGGCTTCTATGTATTTAAATATGTACTCGACCGACCCCTTGTTATTAATAATACCTATTCCCATAAAAAAACATTTCATGGAAAAAAGGTCGCTCGTTATTCCCAAATATAAAATGATCCCGGGAAAGCTTCTCATTTTTCTATTGATTAGAAAGATCTTCTCGAATTTCAAGAAATATTTGAAAACATCATAATTATCTGCATTTATCCAGCCGTGATTTAACGCATTATAAAGTCTTTTTCATTCATTGATTCCAAAATATAACAAATGGCTGTCGAAATCCTGGAAGTTCTTTGTCGAAGTTGACGTCTTCCAGCTGAAATGCTACCTACCACCTGTAAATATATAGTTGATATTGGAGTAATAAAAGGTGGTGCACTCACCCATGTGTTGGTCCATGCGCTTCTTGGGCTTGTGCACGGAGGCGTAGGGGTCGGAGCAGTAGTCCTGGCGCGAGGGCGTCTGCGCGGCGCGCAGGTAGTCGGGCGCCGGCGCGGCGTGCGGCAGGCGCTGGTAGGGCGCGTAGTCCTCCACCGTGCCGTAGCCGCCGTGCGTCATGGGGTCGTACTCGTAGTTGCTCTGGCGCTCCAGCAGCTGGTGCGGCGCCATCACCGCCGCGCCGTTCGCCGCCGCCATCTTCATCTGCCACATCGAGTCCTGCGAGTTCACGCTGCCCCCGTTGTTGCTGTTCGTGTAACTGTTCTCCATGTACGGCCCTGGGAAACGACACAAGTTTGAGCGTGCACAACACGCGCGCATGCAGCCAACACCATGCCTGTGCGGTTTACCTTCGATGAAGACTGCTAGTCCTTCGTTTGCACAAGGAAAAATATTCGAAATTATGTCAATGCTAACTTTGTTGTGAGGATCGAGTGCCTAATTTAAGCGAAACAAAATCCCTTGGTATTACACATAATGAGGGTTTGTGCTCTGTGTAAAACATCATTAACGGGATCCTTCGTCGCGTAATTATAAAAGTTTATTCACATAATATAATTAGTCAAACTACATTTATAATAAAGTCGTAATGAGGAGGTACTTACAATCGGAGGTGGGGATATTTTGCCCGTGGTGTACCTGGGCGTGCGAGGGCCGGTAGGCATATCCCCCCTGCGTCGAGTAGACGGCGTCTTTGGAGTCGTCTATGGGCAGTGGCAAGTCCATCGAATGTTCGAGTGCCTTGTTTTCCATTCCCGCACATGGGTAGGAGTAGGGAGGCGGGCCTTGATTTTGGGATTTCATCGACTCCATAGCGGATTTCATTGAATCCAACTCGTGATCTTTCGTGCGTACTTTTTTCATTTCCATTCGTTTCGATCGACAGTAAAGGAATAACAGCCAAATGACCACCACTAGTACGACAAACACAATCATTGAGGTCATAACTGCTACCAACATGTCTGGTTCCTTCCTTACGTAAGCCGGGCCAACTGAAAATAAAATTCCTCAATCAACAACACGTCTACGTTATTAATTAGCGAACTCTAATTATTTTATTAAAACGTGCGCATTTCGAGGTTTATGAATATGCGAGTGTTAACAGAATTTTTAATAGCATCCTCCTGAAAATGATTGATAACGCTTGCAAAACAGAAAAAGTTTATGGTAAGCAGATTTTCGTGTTTTGTGTGCAAATGCTTTAAGCGTGCAAATGAATAAAGGAATAAAGGCAAAAACCTTTTTTTGTTTAAAATTGAGAGGGAGGCGATTTTTAGGTTTTACACATAATTTGTATCATACCAAAATGTNCAAAATTGAGGTTAAGGTAGGACGCCCAGTACAAGCTGACGCGTCAGCTATACCAAGCTATATGTAACCAATCAAATCAATGACGAAAATAAGTAATTACCAACTGTATCAATTCAATACAATAATTTTAAATCTATTTGTGGTGTGTGAGATTTTTACCTACCTACTTAAAAGTTGCTTTACCAGTTAAGTGAAGGGACTTACTTTCGGCTTCAGTGTATTCGCTGCAGAACTCCTGGTTAACTTGCAGACAGAGCTTAACTCTTATCCTAGGGTTTAACTCGTCCAGAGGGGGATCGTTCATGTGACGACTGCTTTTCCTGCCAGGCTTGTTTGGGATTTCCAGCACCGACTCTTGAAGCATTGGCGTAGATCCAGAAAGCCTCAGCGGCATGGTATCCACCACCTTAACAAACATTAATTGACTTAATAAGTAGGATGTAATTAAATCGCTAAGTAGGTAACTAATTACCCCTGATGGCGTTGAAGGCAAATTAATAAATAAGTGAATTTCCTTTACATTTTCCTTTTGAGTGATAAATAATGAGATCTTAGTTTGATATTGACAAGTTGATATGACTTGAATATTTTTATTAAATAATAATAATAATATTAATATTTGTTTTGTAATCACACTAAAAGAAAGTTTGTGAGTGTGTGTTTTTGTTACTTCTTCACGTCTAAACGGCTGTAGCGATTTTAATATTTGGTATGGAGTTAGCTGAAGCCCTGGATTAGACATAAGTAGGCTACGTTTTACCGCAGGTAACACCGTGGGCGCAGCCAGTAAGTTATAATAATTTCTAAGAATTTATTCCAAATATTTACGCCCACAGCATTTCCTCTAAATTATAATAAAAGCCGCATTAACATCCGTCACTTGTTATGAAGTAAGTAGGTAATTAGCGATAACACGGACTGAGGCTTTTGCCCTCTGATTCGCACGCCCTAATTTCGGCAAGTCAAAGAAATATTATCACTCATCCCTCGGGAACTTTAATACACAATATTAGCAAGATAAAAGTAGCCCGGGGAATCGCTCTATTGATGAGAAGTTTACAGATTCGTATCAGTATAGGTACAAAGTTATTTTAGTCATTTAAAGTTAGGAATCAGGATGCATACCTTGGTAAATTATATCTTCTTTTAATAAAGTTGCCTGAACCCTTGATTGTTCAGCCTTTGTGTGGATTAATTAAGCAATTTGTAGACTAACTGTACCTATTCCAATTATAAGGATAAGGCGATTAGAATAATTATAGGTGGATAGCAAGACTTGTAATTAAATGCATACCTAATACAAGCTCGCTCCAAGAACTAACTATAAATCGGAGGGTGCAATCAAAATAAATATAACTATAAAGTATAGTTATGACGACGAAATTAGGTACCTAGATCTTTCTCCGTTTTGCTCAACCAACTTTTTTTCTTTTTATTGATCCTTCAATCCTTTATTACGATTTTATTTATGGTTGATATTTCTGTCTTACCTGCCAGCCGGCCGATCCCGCGACTCCTCCAAGCCCTTCTGCCACCCCCATGAGCGCCAGACACGTGGGGCTCACGCTGAACGCCACGGTCTTGGTGCTCGGGTCGTACGTCACTTGCTCCGGCGCAGGGATACGGTCCACTTTCGTCGTCACCGTGATCTCGTTCGAGTAGTTACTCTGACCTTTCGTATTCACAGCTTTCACCTACACAATACACAGCACGTCAGCACAATGTCAATCACTCCCACACACAATAAAGTGCGAATTTTTCAAGCGTGATAAAAAACCACAGCAAACACCACAAAACATGAAAAAAACTCATATCATCTAGGCAAGATTACCTTGAAAACAAATGTCTGATGCTGTCGGTTGCGAGAAAATGAAAAAATAAAATAAGTTATTATCTAGGAAGAAATACGAGTAGATACGTCTGCCTACTTGCCGCAGGGGCAGGGGTTCTATCTATTTAAGTATATTGACATTCCCAGACAATGACGACGATATTTCCCTCTACACCTTGCATTCTAAGCCAATGGAAATTATCTAATCTTCATAAAAGTGAATGAAACTAATCTCATGAATTTGTAATAAATCAAATTTAATTAATTTCAGTTCTATTGACTGCCGTCTAAAGCTTTTGATGGCAATGTTAATTATGTATTTTAGAACACTAAAAGTGACTCATTAGATAGCAATGTCGTAGATATTACGAATGTAATTATTTTACATTTAAATTACCAAGTTATGTTAAGAATGTACATATACATTTCAGCCATATAACGTTACGACTCTATTTAGCCTAAAATAAGGTAATAACGCACAGTGCTTAAACCAGACTTTTTAAGTCGTAAAATAATATTTTTACAAAATGTTGACGAACGAAGTCCATAAAAATCCCTAGCCATAAAATTTGCAATTTAATTATCATCTGGCTATGTAAGTAATCAAAAATATTAACAATTCATAACCAATCTAGGCTTAGGGCGAGTTCTACAGACATAATCATACATTTTAAATTTTGGTTCGAGACAAAGGGAATATAGCATAACTCACCTTGAACGTGTATGAATTTTGTTGTTCTAATTTTGTGACGTTGCAGGGATTGGCTCTGCCGCAGTCGTATTCCATCCACTCAAAATCTGATTTATCCGCGGCGCAATCGGAGCTCACAGCGGCGGAGGCTCCGTCCGCGCGGCGGGCCATCGCGCGCCGGTACCTCACGAAATATTTCGTACTCGACAGCCCGCCGTCGAAGCCTGCCTCCCATTTCAACGTGACGAACGAAGGGCCCACTTTCTGGCTGACGAGCCCACTCGGCGATTCAGGTGCGCCTTTCGGCTGCAACCTAATCTGAGGCCGAATATTTCCCAGCACATTTTTCACGCTGCAGTAGTAGTCTCCGTAATCCTGGGGCTTCAGGGATTTTATTTTGAGGGCGCTACGATAGGAATCGTTATTATCAGTCGTAGTATTTATTTCGTAGTGCCCGTCGGAGGACATTTGCAGAGGTGACGTGTGGGACCCGTAAAACCATTGGAACTCGGGTTTCGGGTAAGCTTGAACTCTACATAATATTTCGGCTGTTTCCATGATATCGTAAGCGACTTTATGTTGCAATTTTATTGGTATCGGTTCATCTGAAATAACAAAATATACAATGAAATGACATAGTTACCTTGATCAATTAACCACGTTCAGTTAAAGGTAATTATCCTCAATAGAGTGTAATAAAAAAGAGATTAACTGAACTAATTTGTGAAAGTGATTAGTGTAAAATGTATGCAATTTGTAGATACTATTATTTAGTTTTCATAACCCCTAATAAGAATCTATTCAACTTGTATGGTTGGAAAAGTTCGACGAGAAATGTATTGTATTAAGTTTTGAACTTACGCTCTATTCGAAGATGCATTGTGGAATCCACCCTCTTCACTTCGTTTTCGTATGTGCAAGAATATATGCCCCTATCCTCGGGCAGCAAGTCGTTAGTGTTTGGCCTCGCCTTTCCATAGAATCTCAAAGTACTTTGGACATTAAACACAGAGTTTCTGCCCTCAGATACATCTGTTGTAATCTCATACATATTTGTATCTAGACTTATTTCAGCGTTATCTTTGAACCATTTGACATGAGGTCGGGGCTTGCCCAGCGCACTGCAGGTCACAAAGAAATCTTGTTCACCAGCACGCTTCGTTAAATGAGGCTGTAATTTTGCTTGGAATCGAGGTGGTTGATGAACTTCAAGAGTAACTGAAGCTAAATCTCCGTGGCCTAGTTCATTAGTGGCTTGGCAGTGGTAGACTCCTTCGCTGCCGAGATGTGCACTCGGGATGGTGTATTTATTTCCTGTGGCAAGAACCCCGGGCTTTGAGTCCAACGACTCTATGTCTCGGAACCACCGGTATTGTGGCGCCGGCCAGCCCGGAGGTTTGGCGCTACATGTGAGGGTCACCCCGGTTCCTTCCTGTGCGACAGGGCGGTCTGGACTGATGTGTGCCCGGCCAGGCTTATGTCTCACCAGAACCGCGACTGATGCGCTACTGGAACGTTCCACGCGCTTGCCGTTCATAGATGATATGACGTTGACAGCTCGACAGATATAAGTACCGACCATGTCAGCGTTTACTTTTGTGAGCATAAGGGTCTTCCCCTTTTGGTGAAAATCTGGCCTACCCTCCATAGTCCATTCTATGACAGTTGGCTCTGGGTTAGCGCTGACTTCACAGTGTATCTCAACTGTTCCGCCTTCTTCTGCTTCGTAGGTCTTGGATTCAACAGTGACACTAGGAGGGAAGAGGACATCGAGATAAATTTCTTTCTCTCCAGGGTGACCGAGGCCGTTATCTGCGCTGCAAGAGTATGTTCCAGCATCTTGGATAGTGACGCCCTGAATGGTGTGCGTGAACGAATTGGAGATATATTTTCCGTTCCGAGTCCATCGCACGGAGTTAACTTGTGGCTTGGCATCGACTTTACACTCCATGGTTGCGCTGCCGTCGATTTCTACTCTAAGAGGGTTTTCAGGGCCGACTTCGATGCGAGGGAAATCTGTAACAAAAATATTACATTACTTATAACATAAATGATAGATTATGCTTTTTACTATGATAAATCTAATACAAATAGATAGGTTTTTATGAGCTCAGTCAAATATTATTTGATTAAAGCATTTCTAAATTATCCCGACTTGGGACTGAAACCCTTTGCGCTCAAAAGCAATATTGCTCTAAAATATTAAATTAATACACCTTANAAAAGTGGTAATTTTGTGTAAAAAAATTTTAGGCTTATAATTTGTGTGCCATAGACAACTAGGCGTACAAAAAATTTGGCGATTCGATAGAGACCCCGCATAATCGGATGATGCAATATCCTCCCCTCGCACCGCATGTCCACGAGTATTCATTGATATCTTAATTACATTTCCGATTGCTGTTTAGGAAATGTGTTAATTTCCTAGGAAATGTGTCTAATATAATTTACATCACACATTTCCGGGTGATTTTAGGACTTATACACAATTCCTAGGAATTGTATACAATGACGGATTTCATACATTTCCTGTAACATACATAATAATATACATTTCAGCCATATAACGTTACGACTCTATTTAGCCTAAAATAAGGTAATAACGCACAGTGCTTTAANACTTTAAACTGCACAGGTACTGGCAAAAGTGAATTTTATGGATGCATAAGGTATGTGTGGTGTGTGAGTGTGAGTGAGTAGGTGTGTGTTTGTGTGGGTATGTAAGAGAGAGATGGGTATGATGTCACTAAGATTATGAAACTGAAATGTTCAAAGTATTCACGCGGGGTTAGTCAACAGGAGCTCTGTTTCGTGGTAGCTAATTTGTAGAAGCCAGTCGAATAGCTTCGATTTCACGACAGATGGATGGCTCGATTTGATGTCACAAGAAGATGCCACTTTGTTGTAGATGAAAGGGTATAGGAAGTCCTTGTGTCTTTTTGCAAAAGTTGTTGCGACAGAAGGAATTTTAATTCGAAATATCCTTTTTGTTAGTTGATCCCTGTAATCAGCCGAACCAAACACCGACTTGTGGGTCGAAAGAACGGCGTTGAGGATGTATAGTTTTCGGACGCTAAGGGCGTGCGCCTCCGAGTACACCAAGTGAGTAGGGTAGCGGCGCGGTCTTTTGAGCATTACCTTGAGCATTACACTAAACATTTCATCATTTTAGGCAACAGGGAGCGGCGGAAATTTAAGGTCGTTGAGTGTAAATAAGGAAATCAGCTTCGTTACCGGTATAAAATGTTATCGAGTTTCAAATTTTCAATAATTTGTATATTTAGCATACACACGTGCACGTGTTTATATGGCTTTGTATTTTGGTAAAATTCTAGTTCAAGTAATGTCTACCTTTAACTAGGGCAAAATCATAACTTGTTTGAGACAATATTCCAATTTTATTCTTCTCTCGCGAACAAGAATTAATGAACCATAGCGTCTGCTGACATAACATTCGATCGGAGATGGTTTATTAGCATTATATACGAATAATAAAGCAAGGAATCAACTTTATTATCGAAGAATAAGGTTAACAAACCAGTCAAACAAAACTACTATTTATATTTTTAGAACGAAATGCTGGGTAAGATTTTATTTCCGCCAAATTCCTTTCACCTTTTCATCCCACACATTAGGTATATCGACAACTTTTTCCGCAAAAGCGTAAGTTGTAAAAGTGTTTCAATTTAGTTACAACATAGGGTTCTTCAAATCGACGTATAAGTTGTTCGTCTGATTTGGTACGCGTCTATATTTCTTTTAAAGCTGTCAATATTTATATCATCAAATAAAGTGTTTGTTTCAATAAAAAGTTATTTGTTTTGCAATGATTTTGTTTGCCAAGTATTTGGTATCAAATAAATATCATTTCTTTTTGTCTTCATTTTCCTGAACAGCTTTGTGGTAGTATTTCCCCTTACCTATCTGTTCAAATATATCGTGATTATTTTGTTTGTTTGATAGGTAGGACTATGATTCAGGCGATTGAAAAGTAAAGATTTATTTTGTTTGAAAAGTTGAGCAACCGGTTAGCTATACCGGTGATGCAATTTCGGGCCGGTGAACTATTTTGTAAATTTGTACTAACTTTATATGTGCTGTTTATTTTATCGCAGTGGGTATGATGCAGTAGGAAACGGATGTTCCGAATAAACGATTTATGTTTACAGTAACTCACATGTGCGAGTACGCGCATCAGCATCATGCCTTCAATCCAGGTCAATTGATTTGATAGAAATAGTATATGGGATCTGGAAGATCTCACATCCAAACTCCTGTGTGATTATTGCGGGCATCTGTTTCTTAGTTTTCTTTACAAGCCCAAACAAATGGTTGCTTTTATTTCGCAATGCCTGAAATATTACTGTAGCTTTTATTTGGTGGTGATCAAACATTATTAATAACGACGTAATTATTTCATTTAATTTTCTATTTTTCAGTACCTACATTAAATATTTAGTTTTTTATCCTATCGTCACAGCTTGTTATTCACAATTAATAAGTATAAAAAATGATATGAAAAGAATATTATACTTACTTAAGTACGTTATTATTACAACAAACACCAACATTATTATTTTATCTCGGTAAGAAATTGTGGAATCTTAGAAATAATTTCTTGTTTCTGGAAACTTGTTTCAAAAGATAATTGTTATTTTATAAGAAATGCTTGATAGATCGAGAAAACAAAAACTTTATTACTTGAAGATGTTGATAATTATTTTAATTTAGGATCGTTAAAGTTGTGGCTTTTGTTTATTTTTTTAGTAGGTATAAATGTATTATGTTATGTACAGGCGACTACGATTCATATCTTTGAATTTCAGGATATTTGATGTTTGATATAGACAAAATGTAGAACCAATAGTTCGGAGAGAATGAACTTTATTTTGTGTGTACAACTCAGATATTTTATACCCACACGCAACTAACAGACACCGAGTCACGGCAGTAACCTACGATTACGCCAGAAACAATCTGTCCGATGGGGAATAAGCAGTAGTATTGAACGGGCATTAGTTAGAGCTTAACTTGCCCCAGTCCCAGTACAATACTAATATAATTTGATACCTACATAATATGAAATTATTTCTAGGCACGCCAACATTCAGGGCATAGACATCACGAATGTATCTTGATTTCATTCGATTTTTGTGTGTGTTTTTATTCAATACCTTTATGACCTTCAGTTACTTACCTACTTACTACACTATAAAATATAAGTGAATTGAAATGGGTAGATCGAGAAAAAGACTAACTTCTCAATGTTTAACGGACAATTTAAGAAATACAGGAAACTATTAATAATGTTTTGTAGTTTAATAAAAAAAGTGAATAAATTGCATGCTGTAATTTTTGTCCAATGAGATTTTTTGATTATTATCATCAGTATTACTGACATACTGTGTGAACGTGTGTCGTTCACAGCAGTGGAAATAGCCTAGATCCCAGATGACTGAGGCTGTTTGCTGAAAGCGTCGTACAGTCGACATCAAAAACATTTTAAGTGCTCAGAAATATCTTTGCAAATGGAGCAAAGTATAAGATTTTATGGCACAGAAACGTTAAGATCTCTTTGTGCACTTTCATGGGACGACAAAGACTCTTTTAAAAAAGCACTTAAAGTGTAAAAATATTTTGATGTCGACTGTACCTCCGCTTGATAGCTGCGGGCCACTGATCCTAGACGTCTTACATTTGCTCACGAGTCCCTACTTTGAAATGGAACATTCCCCGTATTTTAGGATTCTGTAAGAAGTGAAACGGAACGTAGGTACCTACCTACATAATCACAACTTGGTGTCAGTAATTTTGTGCTCTTACATTTTATTGGTGTTCTTACTTTAAATTGGCGAACTTAGAATAAATGAGTGCCTATTAAATTCGGTTCAATTCAATTTCAAATAATAATACTGCCACTATTGATAAGTTACACTGCTCGTCTGCAAGAAATAATTTAGGTAATGTATTTTCCAAAAGTGAAATTGTATGGTACTTTGTGAATACTAAATGGCTTATTTACTATTATTGATTTTACATTAACGCCTTATTCAAAGGGGATCGTCGCATTCATGAGCTCAATAGATATGGGACTTATACGATAATGATCGGTGTAGGTTATTACATAAATACCGTCCCTTAATTAATGAAACTCAATACATTTTACTGTCTCAAACTACGATTACTTTGTTGTAGAGCTTCTTGATTTTCCTCTGTTAAAATACTTAACACTCTACGAGAATCTATTAATAATTGCGAATAAAGCATTGGAAGTTTTGATTGCTATTGTTTCCTGGCCGAACTATGAGTAGTTCCGATGACGTATTTCGCATGTTTCATCCACATTCAAAATCTAATTTGCATACTAATTTCAAGATATACATAATTTGTACATATTCCTAGGCGAGTAGTAGGTAATTTGAAAGTTTGTCTCTGGGATATTTCCTAATCCTAGAAAATAAAATGAACATTTCACTTTTTTACGATAGTAATCATGTTTGGCATCCATGTTTCCGTTTTACACAAATAAATAAATGACAGAACTTATTTCCCGTTTGATCCAGCACGGACTTGGACATTTTTTTGTAAACATGCGGACTGAACCGCGGAAATGTGAGGTGCCCTTTTATGAAACGCAAAAGGACGAAAATGGCATTCATACCGAGCCAATTTTTAAGTGAGGTATGAAAGTGCCCAATAAATGGAAATATTTAGAGAGCATTAAAAATGTACAACGTAATATGAGAATAATAACAGGAGAAACCATTTGCAAAATGCGTGTATACTACCTACCTACCTACTTTCATACTAAAAAGATGGTGTAGATATATGGATAACCCACTCTTTTGCTTCATAAATCAATAACACTATTATATTCTGTAAGTTTTTTTGCTAAAACAAAATTCTTACGTCATTACAACACAACCACTACTAGGTAACGACTAAAATAAAATAAATATGGAGCTAAGAATCAAGTATGACAAGAAGACAAATAAAATAAAACTTTTCTTTATATGCTGAAGAACTTTTGGGTTATTACAATTACACGCTGTATGTGCGAGACAGAAGTTAGTTTCACCCTAAACAAGCGTTACAACTTGTTTATTGAATAGCGAGGTTTTCTCGAATAAGTACTTTATAACTTTCATAATATGATAAACTACATTTATCAGAGTATTGCGGTCGGGCTTGGGTTTGAGAGAGTGATTTGATAATGACACTACAATCCGACAGAGATGTTAACGGTGCCAGATTGCGGGGATTAATTAGTAATTGATTTTAGTTCCCTAAATAGGATCTATCCCAGATGGTGCTTAATGAAATCCGGTGGAGAACTTTATCCACTATTTATTACCGGTCTTTACACGGACAGGGAAAAACTTCTGTGCTTTCGTCCGGCCGTGACTACGCGTCTGGATTTAGCTATATTAATATTAAAACAGGTAAAACGTTTGTCGGTTTATAAATGCGCTTTAATTGTGGGCTTGCTGGTGTTCAGATTTTTTGATATTCTACGATTGTGGCGAATGTAATGGTGTTTTAATTGAGTATGGTGTTCTGACAATGCCGAGAGGTCGCATGTTCATCACATTCGTGTGCATGAACATATTTGTTTGTATTGTACTGGGTGTTTTGTATGTGTAATATGTGTGTATTTACAAAAAAAGGTATTTAAGTATGTTTATATCTGTTGTCTAGACCCATAGAACAAGCTTTGCTTAGTTTGGGACTAGAGGCGCAGGTGTAAAAAGTCGAAGGATATTTTATTATTATTATTCTTTTTCGTTTCTTTTCTCCACCTTTTTAGGATGGATTAAACATCTGTTATGCGGGCCTCAGCCAATCATTATTATTATAGGTAAGTACTCACAGTTGACGCTAAGGTCGACGGTGGCATCCAGCTGCTGGCCCTCGGGCATGGCGCGGTTCCACACCACGCAGCGGAAGGTGGCGCCGTCGTGCTCGCGCGCAGGCATCAGCGTCAGCGTCGCCACCGACGCCTCGGCGCGCGTCTTGCCGTACGTCACCTCCGCTTCTAGGGGGTACGTTGACCCGTCTTTGTACCATCTGTAACAAATTTTTGGTCAAATTTCCAAATAGGCGTAAAGATATTGGGTATTTAACACTATTTAATTCGAAAGCACCACTTTTTCAAATTATCAGATGATTTTGGTCATAAAAACTCAATTAGTTGTCAATCAACTATAAAATTAATTTGAAATTAATACAAATTACTCAATTATGTCATAAGCTTGTACTGCCATACAAAAATCATATTTGGACAGTTTTTAAACAGCAAGTTAATTTATTGGTGTCGATTTTATTTAACGCATAATTCAGTTTTTTTACACTGCCGACGTAACTGTAACGCGACTTGAATGCGACTCTACATTTCCATATAATGTAGGTAATATAAATCGTCGCATCTTCGTCAGTTTAAAATAATAGGTTCATTATTATTTTTAATATGTACCTACTTATTTCTTCTTTTCCCAATTATAGAAAAAAAGGGTGACTGAGATGATCGCTGATCTTCTTCCGCCTTAAAAACATAAGGCTTTAAAGTAAATTCACTTTGATCTATACAAGCTCCCATTAAAATGTCTTCGGAGATTGAGAACTGTGGTTTAAGTAATAAATATAACTCAGTAACTTGATTTATTTCAATGAAAGATAGCATAGGTCGGGACTACTCGTCTCAAACAGACTCTAAATGACAAATGCAAATGAAAGCTCTATTCTTTGGGCCTCAGGCGGATAACAAATCTATCTATTCCATTATCCTATGATACCGCTGTCATTCGTACATACCCTACATCTCAATTTCCGAGAACCCCTATGAAAATCGTTGTTAGAAACATCAAAGCATTTTTATATTAGATGGAAAAACTAAGTACCGTAACAGACGTGGGTACCTAGTTTACATTCATTGAGGCAGAGACCAAGATTAATGTAAATGTATTTTATAATCCCGTTTTATATTTCTAGGGGAATTACCGAGAAGGTTAATGTTACGTTGTACTCTTTGTTTTGCCATTAACTTTCACGAAGCAAAGACACATCTAATGTCTGTTCAATTACTTGGAAGACTGAAACGCAGCGAAGTAGGTAAGTACAAAATACACGTAATTATTTCAAAACATAACCTTGAGACCGTTAGAGATATTCATTATAATTAGGTCTTTATAATTAACTTGGACTCCGTTATTGTTAATTTATATAAAACAAACAGTTCAAAATCCAGATATTCATACACCCACGTAATAACCTCCTTCCTTCAGGACTTTTCTTCCAAGGTTGCGTATAAAACCGCTGGAAATGACAGTGATCTTTTCTTATGAGATAATTACGCACAACCGCGTTTCGTTTTTCACTTGTGGTGCTTTGTCGGCTCCCAACAATGTAGGGTCGCCTTGCCGGCCATTCTGGCCGACCGCCCGCCGGCTTCGTATCCTTGCCTTTCTCCCTAACTCTAATTGAATCCAACTCACTGCCTACGCGAAATTTATCACCACATTTATCAGCTTTTTATCTTGCCTGTAGGCCGTTCTTAATGTGTAATAATGGATAAGGTGGAGAACGTTACCCATAGGTCCGTAATTTTAGATTATTAGCCCGATATTTCTATCGGCAGAAGAATGGGAACTTCTTTTAATGAACTTAAAGCATGAAATTTGAGCATAATTAACGTTAAAATATGGACCCCAGTGGCTATACAATTTTTTAGGACTAGATTAAGAATCTATACATAATTATTACAATCGCAAAAGTGGGGAAGAATGAATATAATTTGTTGCCCTTCACGCAAAAAATGGAGCTGGTGCATCAACATAGAAACAAAATACATCAATTATTTGCCCACTTACATCGAAATAATTAGGTACCTATCTATCCTAAGAGGACGAATTTACGAGTATGACCAAAAAAGTATTAAAATTATTACGTAGTATGAGCAACGATATTATATAGGTTGGTTGGGACCACAAAAAACCTGCCTAGGTTTCTTGTAGCAGCAGATTTTCTCGTAGCAGCTTAACTTATTAAGGCAATAATTAATTTATTTATACGGGCAACACACTAATAAAGTATTTTATACGTACCTAGTTGTCATTTGTTATTTTGCAACATAAATTTAACGTGCTTTTTTGATTTACTAAAATTTTAGGGGTATATTCTATGAATAAATCCTAATGAAAATGTGTTAAAAAACGTATATTTTCGAAGTTTTTTCCAAAATAGTTACCCGGTTAATCTTTTTGTACATAATTTTCATTGATCGTTCATTATTTAAAGAAAAATAAAGTGATGATAATTATATTTTTTACTTGTCTTAGGTGTTTTTTCACGGTTATTTAACTATGGCGTATTATTTGTAAGAAAAAATAATTAATTTAAAAAAAGTTGATGCCATTCGATTCTTTGAAGTGGTCTTGAATTCCAGGAAAACAAAAGGAGCACCTTGTAGTCTGATCTGTTCACTGTACCAAGTACGATTTAAATGGACGTCGTCCTGACGTTGCTTATTGCTGATTATTAAACGAGGATGTACTCACTTGATGGAAGGGTCAGGCGAGCCGCCCGAGCTGGAGCAGGCCAGCTTGAGCTCGCGGCCCTCCTGTGCTTGCGCGTGCGGCCCCGGCGTCAGAAGCGGCGCGCGCGGCAATGTTAGGACCACTAGCGCGTGCCCCTGCAAGAAGGTTTTATTTGTAGACATTTGAAGTCTTGAAAATAACATGGAAACTTCGTAAAAGTCCTGAAACTACTGGACTGAACTGCTGACTGAACTATAATAGTTGGATGATATATTTGATCTCATTACGTTGCAAAACAGTTACAAGTACAATATAAAAACAAGTAACATTTGCAAGTTTCATACTTATTTTCTTTTGAGACAAATGAGAGAGATAATGAGGATTGATGATGTGGGCTCAATTTTTGCAATCTTGAAATATGAAAAATCCTGACACTAATAAGTTTGAAGTAAGTTGCAATACATATGTTTGATCTCGTTAACTGAAAGACATATTTCTTTTTTGTTATTGACAAATTACAGATTAATACAGATTGAAGACTTATTTGATTAACTATTCTAGTTACTACTCTTTTTCCATCCAAGAAAAAAATCAAGAAAACTCAAAAACCCGAACTCATTGCGGACAAAAGAAAAAGAAAATTTCCGGAAAAAGTCAATAAGCCGGACACATCCATCCATACCTGCGAGTGCAGTGTGCGCCCCGAGCCGCCCGCCTTCACCCGGCACTCGAACCGCCCATTGTCGCGCTCGTACGATACGTTAGCCACCATCAGGTCGTAGCGGCCCTCCTCAGGCTTGTACGATATTCTGAAACAATGCGAGATATTGTCGTCGTTACTCACTTTCATTTAATTTATTTGCAATACTGCCGCGAGTAGTTAAAAGGGCGCCTCAAACACCAAATCAAAACGTAAGTAGATAAAAAAGTTTCAAATAATTTTAATTCTTAGCTGCCCTTGAGTTTCACTCATATCCGAAAATAGTGTTAGATAAATGTGCCTTTTCAACTATCGAGGGCAGAATAAATACGTAGGTAAGTAAACTTATTACAGTCTAGGCATCGTAATAAATAGGAAAAGGAGTAAAACTCTAAACAGAATAACTCGTAATTAGTAAACATAAAGGTATTAAGTATTTCATATTGGAATTATAATATAACGGCTCTGTCTTCAGGCATGACATGATTCTTTAAGGACTGTACAAAGAAGAAACCCAATTAATCAGACTCAACGTTAACATCAAAGGAATGTTTAAGTACTCTACATTAGTAGGTGTTTTTTTTACCTCAAAAATGGTTTTACGTAAGAGCTCATTGAGATTACTGTTTCTCATTATTAACATCTCGACTTTGTAATAAAGTAGTTGCTGGAAGAAATGAGAGTTAAGCTCTTTGTTACACAGAAACAGGCACTCCCGCGAAATTTGAAGGATACTCTAATATAATAGATAAACTCGTTCCACAGGTCCGTTTGCGGATTTCGGTTCTTTACAGAAAGACTATTGTGAATCCCTCGAGGACTGTGATATTCCCAATACAAATAGTAGCTTATGCTGCTCTACAATATCGTAACTTTCATTAAGGAAACGTTTGAAAACGGATTTGTTGTTTTACAGAAAATCAAGAATTTCTATTTTATCATTTTATTCCTAGTATTATTCACCTGTATTGATTAAAATCTATCGAAATCTACTAGAAATTGGCCTCGAATGTTGTGACGTAAATTCAATCTACGTCATACGTAATGTACGAGCGCGTAAGATTATCGCCGTTGTCTTCAACTCTGTTATATTTGTTTCGTGAAAATGATTTGTGCGTGAACAAGAAAAGGAAAAGGCGCGATAGCCTAGTGGCAAAAACGTCACCACATGTATGTACATTACTTTTGAGATATCGGTGCCGTTGTCACGGAAAAACATCGTAAAACCTGCACACTACCATACACGTAGGTATTCAAACAAAAACCTGAATATATTCCTGGAAATCTGGAAATTTTTACCTAGTGATATTTGCATCTAGTCAAGTCATAATCTCAGAAATATGATAACAATGCTACATGTAAGTTATCTACTCGTCATTTCATCAGAAATATGATAACAATGCTACATGTAAGTTATCTACTCGTCTTTTCATCAGAAATATGATAACAATGCTACATGTAAGTTATCTACTCGTCTTTTCATCAAGGTTTCTAAGAACAGAGCTTAGTTGCACTAAAATTACATTTAAACGTTAAAGTGTCAGAGATGAAAATTCTTTGAAAAGTTTTATTTATTTGTAGAGAGCTTAAAGTCAACCGGAGCTTATGAAGGGAGTATGGAATTCCTGCTCACTAGATGGACAATCTGAGAAATTATTACAGCTACAAAACATGTCACTGTGATTCAGACTTTGCCTTCGTTTACTACACAATTATTTAGAAACTAGCTTTCCGCCCGCGGCTTCGCCCGCGTGGAATTTTGTCTGTCACAGAAAAACTTTATCGCGCGCGTCCCTGTTTCAAAAACCGGGATAAAAACTATCCTATGTTCTTTCCCGGGACTCAAACTATCTCTATGCCAAATTTCATCAAAATCGGTTGCGAGGTTTAAGCGGGAAAGCGTAACAGACAGACAGACAGACAGACAGACAGACAGAGTTACTTTCGCATTTATAATATTAGTTGGGATAATCGGATGAGTCATTAATATGATGGGCACTTTTGCTAATTATGATTAGGAGAATAACTTCCTAAATAAGGACTAAGAATGTAATATAACAAAATTATTCAGATGTGCTGTCGTTTGTACTTCTTGAAGATAAAATTTACTTTTTTTAGAGCTGACGATTTGTTGTTGTGTAGTTTCAATGTGAAAGTTCTTCATATTTATTTGTTGCACCCTATTATAGGAGTAAGGAAAACCTTTCACAATATTTCAATGAAGTATAAAAATTTTCAATGAAAGTAGATATTTTCACAAGAATTTTCGCAATAAACGTGCTACGGCAAACGCGTCTGTAGGAGTTCGTAGTATGAGAACTTATCACTTTATTGCTATTGGAAGACAACATTATTTTTATAAACCCAACAGTTATTTATTTAAGGATTCGTTAGCGACATGAATTCATAATGTTTCATTTATTATAAATGCTATGGAAATATGGTTGGATAAAGCTGGCTCTTTCTGAGGGTACATATTCATGTTGATTACTACAATATATTGCGGTGTTTCGAATAATGACGACAGTCTGGTGGAAAATAAAATCTGGATGGCTTCGCTTCCTACTCGTATTTTATTCTCTTTTGTGTTCCATTTTAAATTTTATTTCATTATCTTTAACAAACTTTGCAAGTGCAGATACTGAAAGTGGGCTTCGAGCCCCGATGATTGAATTTCCCACCAGTGAGTTTAACATAATACCTATTATCGTTTTGTTCGATCATCCCTGAATGTTCATCATGTATTGTTATAACGTGGTAAGTTATTGAATGTAAGTAAATACATAAGGGAAGCAATAATCTTATAACACTACACACACAACAAGAACAACTGATCTAATTTTCTAACATTGACAAACAGACACTTATTCCCGAATCCCGAGTAGCAAATGCTTTTTTATCCAGGCAATATATATCTAAGTTTGTTGTGTTATGTTTTTCTGTGACAAGAAATACTCGAACAAGATTAGTGCCTATTACCTGTTACACTAGCAAAACGTGTCACGATAGAAACAATTGAGATATAGGTATCTAAACATCTGTGCCCGTAACAACCGGGATTCCGGTGGTTAGTTAAATTACTTACTCGTAATTAGTTTCCAAGGGGATGTTCCCTATGGCGACGTTCTCGTGCCCACTCGCCGTGCTGCGCACCCAGTAGTAGGTGAGCGAGTCCCCCGCGTTGTGGTCCAGGGAGAAGCGGCACTGCATCGTGACGTCATCACCCTCGCGCGCGTCGTGCTGCTCGTCGTCTGCGCTGGCCGTCCAACCGACTGGAAAGAAAACGTTTTGGTAAGCTTTCTTAGTAGTTCTAATTTTTCGCCAAGAGATGTCGCTTTCTGAACTTAACTTTCTTTTAAAATTAAGCTAGAGAAATATTTTCATACTGCGCCCAGCTAAAGTCAGAGTGGTTGTATACTCAATTTTGTGATCTTTTTGTTACATCTTTAAGTTAAATATAAATCAGTAAGCAACTGACTTCCGTATGACTATGGCAAATGTTACAATGTCTAGTCAGGCAGAGATAACTGAGCGGATATCGGAGCCTTTATCTGATTGCTACTTACTCGTAAGCTTAATTCCATGGGATACGCGATAAGCGCCAGAGTAATAATACCCTTGTTTAAGTAATAATTGTAAATAATATAAAAAGTCGTTGGATGTAGTCCAAGTTGCTTCTGCAGTGATGGGCATCGACCTTTAACGAGGGGTTAGTGCTCAGTAATTAAGTTTTGCAAATACCGCCGATATTAGATGATGTAATCTAGGCAGGGTTTACCTAGATTAACACCGTAACGTATTAAAATTTTCTGAGTGAACGGCTTTGCAATATTGTTAATTCAACTACCAACGAGGTACTTATCCAATGCTAGCTGCCCTACTAGACTTTGGAGTTTGAAATTGAACTCGTAACTTTTTTAAATTACTCATCAAAATGCTAAGTCTTCGTAAATTTTGCCCACTAGTGGATATTTATGAAACTGCATATGCTTAACTTACTTAAACATTATGCTTAATAGATTAATACCTACTTTTAAGAAGCTTTCGAATATTATTACCTTTTTACGATGCAAATTTTCGAGGCAGGCTGTTCTAGTTCTCTACGTACTAATTAATTGATACCATATCAGTTGATCACTAACGTTAATCAATTGATACTAATTAACGAGGTAATCAATTATTTAGGGTCCACTTTGACAACTGCCTGGGTAGGTATGGGAGGTAACTTGTCCTAAATTTATAATACCTCACCGTGAATGCAATGGGACACCCTTAGCTATTGGATTGGGAATTAATAGGCAGAATAACGGTGGCTTAACTAATTGCAAATCCTAGTCGGGAATAGAGCGGCAATTGTATCCGAATTGCATGTTCTAGAGCTTTGTATGCGACGAGAGGCAAACAATACATCGTGGTTAGTCTCGGTAGTTTTTGGCTGAAACTTTTTGACCTGTGCAGGTCACATATCTGAAACTGAACTCTACCTCTACTCTTAAAACATTCCATCCAATTTGATTCGAACAAATACTTTTGGATACTTTGGACTGAGTTTGTTGCGGCGCTTCTTCTCAGCACTTGCCAAATGTTTGTCTCGAAGCGCTGGTAGGGCAAAAAAAGAATGAGACATGTATAGGCTCCTTAAGAGCATTTGACGATTTGCAAGAACTAATTTAATTAGTCTAAACAAATAAAGATAATTTTGATTTTGATTTTGATACAGAATCGATAAATAAAATAATAATGTTCGATTAAACGAATAACAAGTGCAATATTTAATGAAAGTTCCACTGAAATCATCATTTATTATGATAACATTCTGCCCACTACGCGTATAACCCGTGAAATTATTATCCAGTCAAAATAATTCTGGAGATTATTCGCAGTTCCTCGTGGATACAGCAACATATTTACGGCGGTAGAAATTAATGTCTGAGTGGTAATAAAACACTTTTAGAAGATAATATAGGTAATAGTTTGTGATAAAGGGAACTTTTTAAATTCAATTAAAGAAAGAGAGCACTGAAATAGATCTTAAAAGTGTATAAGATAAAAATACATTCGTCGCATTTAGCTCAGACAGGTGTGTGTGCACCTTAGGCGGTTTTAGTCCCGCTATTATTTTGTGAGTTTTATTGTTTCACTATCACGCCAATTACCTAGGCCCTAACTGAGCAGTGTTGTGCCTATTATATCGACTAGATTACGGATAAACATATTTAAATAAATACATATTAATGTACATGCATATTCATAAACGTTAACCGTTCTTATTACACTAACATTTGCCCCTAGAAGGATTCGAACTCGTAACCTCGAACGGAAACTCGAACCATTAGGTCAAAAGGCCAATAAAAATGTGGTAAATTTTAATGTAAGCTGAACCCAGGTTTAGCTAAAAGATTTCGTTGATTTCAACAATGACTTGATAATGGAAAGATAATAAGTAGTAAGAGTTACGAGTAACATTGTGGTTTGAAGAAAGGCACCAGTTTACGAAATACGGAACTCAATTTCGTGGAGAACTGCCTCTTTCATTGTGCAAACAAACTTCGTGCTTCTGTATATTACTGAAATACCGACAACTTTGTTTTAAATGGTGAAGGCGAAATGACGTGCCGAGCGGCGCAGTCCCTGTACGTAGACCCCTGAAAACTATAGACTACTATAGACATTATCACGTTGAGTTAAGAATAAACGAAAGATCTACGTATACTCATCACAAGACTAGCTTCTAAAAATGTATATGTTGCAGGACCGTCGTAAATCTAGAATTACTAAGTAGGCTTAATGACGGACGTACAGTTAGTAGGCGTATGTGGGTTATATTGTATTATCTTGCATGGTCATCTTTAGCCATTACAACAAGATCTACTAAGATGACAAGTCATTTTGTGTTGTGTTTGATTAGTATACCTAGGTATAATATTGGAATGACACACACATAATTAATTCACAAATCAAAATTTTCAAAAAAAGGAAATTGTTAACAAAGCATGTAAATAAGTTGTATTAGATTTAAAATTGGTTAATAAAAAAAATACCTACTCATTAAATTATAATATTGCATTTAGAACTATCTATGCCACATATTTTCAAAAAACTTTTTTTCTCCAAGAGGTTTCTCTTTTTCTACACAACTAGTTTTGGTGTTGTCTCGGTCACTCTCGCCGCAATGTCAGAAGGCTGTCCTCTTTACGCATCATCATTCTGAGCAGTTGCAGTAGGGTTACCTATCAATCAGTCATATTTATTATACTATAAAATTTACACCCCTAATAGATCAAATGGCTAATTAATGTGAACAATATTTTGAATTCGTTTGTTTTGATAATAATAAATAATTATGACATTAATAATAATATGTAAACACCCTGAGTGTACCTATAATAGGTCTGAACAGAACAGAAACCAATATTAAATTACAATCTTATTCCAAGATCTCTTATGTCTATGGATTTCCGGGAACCAAGTCAAGAATATTACTGGGAAAAGCACGTCTCTATTTGCGGGTTTTTGTTGATAATTCTATTGTTTAGCTAAATCCATACCGTAAGTGTTTGAATTCACAGTAATTTAGAGAAAGTTAGCCAGAAACTATAATATAATAGCTACATCATTCATCGATTCATTCATTCATGTCTTAATTTGAGGTCTTAGTTTTCTCTACCTTTCAAAACAAAACAAAAAAAAAAGTAAAAACAGTGTCAGTTTTCCTTACAACGTTCCTTTATAACGTTTTTTTTCATATCTATAATATCGCACGTTCATAATCAAACCGTCACTATACGAAATTGGCAGAAATTGAGTTAACAACGTCATCAATCAGAGCTCCGCGAAAAGTGCATGCTGTAAAAATCCCACGCTTAAAACTCAAATAGTTCGGCAGATATCACTAGTGTCGTTATGGAGTTTAATGGGGAAACCGGCATATGCTGTGAGTAACAGTGACACGTTTTTAGTAGTGACGGGAACTGGACGGGACGCCGTGATAGTTATGTGGACTCTGTGTTGATAAACGTCATTTTTAGCATAAAGACGCTTTTACTCCAAATCATTAAGATAAGTCACAATAAAGTAATACGAAAAACGCCTTAAAACAAAGAGTGACAATATTTCTCTTACATTTTTAATAAAATTGTTCCATCACTTCGTAGAATATTGTGTTTATCCAAATTGTGTAATATTAAAACAACAAGAAAGATTTTTAAATGATTAAGTAGTTATATTTTTTTTAACAGCTAACAAAAATGCCACCAGTCAATCCAAACACTAGTAAAATCAAAATAAATTATCAAGGATATTACTACTTTATCTAGCGTTTGTGGACTATTTATTTATTTATTTATTTATTCGATCACCAACAAGGTTACATTGAGGCTTCACAAAAGTAACTATAAAGAAATGATAATGCCTTGGATTCGATCGAGATCTGAGCAGTGCTACAGTCTCTCCAAGCAACGGTGCCAAATTGACTATAGATACATCGAAGTGTTGAAAAGCTTGTACGAAAACGCCACAATGTCGGTTCGTCTCCAGGATCAGGACTCGAAACTCATCCAGTTGCAGCAAGGGGTGAGACAGGGAGACGTCATAATATCTCCGATACTGTTCAACACCGCCCTGGAAGATGTTTTCAAGCTTCTGGACTGGAGCGGATTCAGCATAAATATCAACGAGTACATCATCCACCTTCGATTTGCGGACGATGTCGTAATCATGGCTGAGACTGTGGAAGATCTAGGCATAATGCTCGATGGCCTAAGTAGAGCCTCTCGACAAGTGGGCCTGAAAATGAATATGGACAAGACAAAATACATGTCAAATGTCCATGTAGTATCCACTCATCTGGAGACTCTACGCTCGAAAGTTTGTTGACAATTTATGTATACCTGGGACAAACAGTCCAGTTACGTAGGTCCAACATCGAGAAAAAGGTCAATCGTCAATCCAACTCGGCTGGGCAGCGTTCGGGAAGCTTAGTGATATTCTCACGTCCGAAATACCGTAGTGCCTCAAGACAAAAGTCTTTGATCAGTGTGTGTTGCCAGTGATATTTTATGGATCTGAGAGGTCACAAAAAAGGTGATGGAGCGTGCGATGCTCAGTTAGTTTCCCTACGTGATGGAATCAGAAATGAGGAGATCCACAGGAGAACCAAAGTGACCGACATAGCCCGCAGAATCGCTAAAATCAAGTGGCAGTGGCCGGGGCACATAGCTCGCAGAGGTAATGGCCGCTGGATAATGATCCAGAATTTAAACCTACTTCTCTG